CCATTCCTTCCTTTACTGCAATGCATTGCAGCTCCAATTCTGAAGGTGATTGTGAACAAAAGATAAGCATTGCTTTTGTCTGGTGACAGCTAAAGAAAATACGTTTGTATCCCATAAAATAACTCCAGAAAATGTTAAATGGAAAAACAATAAAAATTTTAAAAGAAAGTTAAAAAATGGGATTCAGAAGAGGAACACATGGAAACTACATCTATAGCGAAAAGCCAATTTAAAAATAAAATAAAGAAAACTGGTGGAGAGGACTGAATAAGATGGCCTCACAGAAGTCTCTACCATCTCTGCTTTTGGTTTCTTTTAAAATCACACTGGGAAAAGGGAGAACAAAATGAGGACAGCTGATTCAGATTTTCAGGCTCAAGGCTGAAGAAAGCTGAGTTCTAATTTTGCTATGCTTTTCTGGAGAGGTTTTCAACTGTGAAGCCATGTGAAAACTAAAGGCATCACGGCTTGATGTTGTAAGAGCAGAGCGATTCCCCACACAGTGTTCAAAATACATCCTCTCTGCATTTGTGCATATTAGCTGGGCTATAGAAACCTGCCTCGGTAGAGGACTTCAGCATACAAGCTCTACTTGGTAAATTTCTAGCAAGATCAAGCTTTGAGGCATCTACCTAGCAATGACTTTAGCCAAACAGTGAATAGAAACAAATCCAGGAGCATAACTGCACCTTGCTAGGGATAAGTTAGACGGTTAAAGTACTGAAGCACTTTGCAATAAGGGGAGAATCCAATTTCTGTCTGTCCACACAAACAACACTCACTCAGCTGTATACATACCATTCCTAGCACTTAAACAGTTTGGTATTCTATTCCATATGCAGCATGAAGCTGTAAGTGTCTGCACAGCTACTGAGCATGTGCAGTGGACATACCTTTGGCTGGACAGGTATGCAGCACCATAACTGAGCACACATCCCCAAACTAAAGCAGGACAAACATTAGAAGAGGGGGGAGGAGGAGGATCCTCCCATGTTTTAGTCCATTTGCCAAATGGTCAGGGTGCTTACCCAGGAAGTAGACCAGGGTTTTATGCAAGTGTTTGAAGTTACACCTGCCCAACTTCCCAGCACAGTGTTCCAACCATCACGCCATAGGTCAGTCATTGTCCAGTCCCCTCTTGCCCACTCCTTTTAAAGCTAAGCCACTGCTCCTTGCATTCAATATTCCTTAGATAAAATGGGTGGAGAAGAGTAGGAATTTCTGCCCATATGGAAAAACAGCCAGCTCACTGAACCACATGCTTTCTAGCTTGCTCGCTTCTTCCTGACTCCATGTATTGCTCCCTCTTGGGCTGCCCAGAAGCCCAGCTTCAAAAAGAGGGATGGAAAGGAGAGTGGGTAATACTTAACCTATGACCTGGTTATTGGAACACTGTACTGGGAAGCTGGAGACAGATTCAAATCTCCTCTGAGTGAAGGGCATCGAAAACCCGGTCTACCACTTCCTATGCAAGCACCCAAACTACTAGCCTACTGGATGAGAACAGTGGGGGCCAACCTTTTTGCCAAGTGTGTCACAAATTAGCCCATGCAACCAGAGTGCCTCTCTGATCCCTTTCCCCATCTGCTGCTCTGCTTTTTTCTCCCAGCCCAAGCTGCTATTTCGCTTTCTAGTCAATCCTATCTATTGCTGTATTCCTTTCTTCTCCCTTGATTTACTAGATGTTGCACACACAGGTTGCCCATGCCAGTTGTGGGACCCAGGCTGCAGGTTGGCCACTCATGGGTTAGAACATGGGAGGAGTCTCATCCTTCAACATCTAATACTTGCTAGTCTCGGGTTTTGGCTTGACTGAAATTTCGGGACTCACACTCAGGAATGCACACACATAGGCACATGCCTGCCCAGCCAGCACACTGCTTCTGTTGTCCATACTGCACATGGAACAGGATCACTAAGTGCCAAAAAAAAAAGAATCATTATGCAGATGTGTAACTGCCATTTAGGTCCATGAAGTGAAATAGGATTCTGCCCTAAATGTTAAAAGGTGTACAATTCTAAGATGAATATTAAAATTTACAGGTTGCCTGAGGCAGTTTAAAAGTGCAGGTGTGTATCTTGAATACACAGCAAGACGAGTATGGTGCCAGATAGCTCCCTGGGGAAAATATCCTCCATTAGTTCTATACACAGTAGCTTTGGAACCAAAAACAGTATAACTGCATTACTGCAGTGCTGAATTTAGATTAATAAAGTAGCTATACTGCTTGCAATTCTTGAGCTAGCACGTGCTGCCTCCATCATATGGACATACCGACAGTGATCTCAAAGCAAGAGTGATAAAGCTCTTGTGGTCTTTATTAAGGACGGACATGTGCAAGAAAATTTCCTATTTTGGCTATTATATAAATCCATGCTGGCAATTTACCAAACTATGTACCATGAAATGGCTGGAAACTGAGCTTGCATTCACTCCCACAACACATCCTTTCAAAACAAGGAAAACTAAGGTTCAGCATTCAGTTTGTAAGTGCCGTACTTAAGGCTGACCATCCAAACCTAACTCTGCCCTGCTTCTGCAGGACAAGACAGTAATTATCACTGCCAGAGTAGTCCAATCGGTCCTATGGTCTCAGACACGGGGCTTATCAAGTCTATCTATATTACCTATGCTCTGTAAGTGAAGGTGTGAATTTACAGCACTCTAGCCACTCCACAAACACTTCATGTTGCTTTTAGTGTGCACTAAATGCTTCTGTACTAGGTGAAGTAACCTACCTTCCACCTGAACATCCACAAGCAGAGGCTGCATGGAGTAAACTTGTGCACTGAAACTTTGCACCATAGCTTAAGGAGCACTGATTTCTCAGCAAACAGGCCCTCGCAGTGCAAAGGGAAAAGCTTAGTACAGGCAGTCCTCGACTTCCAACATTTTGAATTACAATGTTCCGCACTTACAACCTTTATAAATTGACACCCGTTTCAACTTTCTGATGTCAGTTTCGACTTTAAAATGCTTGATCCGATGCCACGCCACACCAGCAAACAAGTTCGCTCCGTTGCCCATCTCCCGTCTGCCTAAACTTCCTTGGACACTTGCTTTAAGAAAGCAGACAAGACTCCTGAGAATACTGCAGCCAAGAACCCTTCAAAAAGTCCAACAAGGAGCCCTTCAAAAAGTCTAGCCAAGTCACCTCAAAGTCCTTCTCAATCTATATGATTGCTATTTATGATATAAATACATTAATGTAGCTATATTACTCATCCAGAATTGATTGAGTACAAAATTCTGGGTTATTTTTGGTGAAAAGAGGGTACTGGGCCTTGGTTCAGGAACCAATCCCCCATTTATAACATTGTTTCCTATGGGAAAAAATCGGTTCCAAGTTGCAATGTTTCAACTTACAGACATGGTTCTCAGGAACCAATTGTGTCATAAGTCTGAGGACTGCCTGTAGACTCCAGAGCAGAGGTATGCAAAATACGGCCCATAGGCCAGATCTGGCCCACCAAAGGATTTTTATCTGGCCCATGATAGATCCCTTGGCCTTCCCTGACCCAGACGCTGGGGGCAGCCTTGGCTGTGGCATGTGCAACTGGCTGCACAGCCACTGGGTGTGCAGCAGGGCTGGAGTGGCACAGCAGCGAGATTCCACTTCCCAGCAGCCTCAGCTCCTTCTACCTGCTGCTGCCATTAGACCTGGCTCTGTTGCCCAGAGACTCCAGCCCATCCATCCCAAACCCACTGCGTGGGTGCCAGACAGAGCAGGCAGGTAGGGTCTTTATGGAAAACGGCCTGGGACCTGTGTGGACAAGGTGCATTCAGCCAGGCAAATGGCATGGGGCCACGGGCAGGCAGAGATCGCCATCTAGGAGTGGGATGGGTGGGTGTAGCTGGGATCATGGGGCAGTGACAGCAGAGGGCTGGACCCCAGGGTAGACAGTCTGCTGCCTGCACATCCATGATGGGAGCTGGCAGGGGCCTAGCAGGACCCCAGCCCCAGCTGCCCTTCCCACGTCTGGATGCTGCTCCCTGCCCATCCATAGCCCTATCCCATGTGCTTGGCCCAGGATACCCTGCCCTGAAGCAGTCTCCATGGAGACCCTGGGATCACAGGATAGTGTGTAGGGCCAGGCTCCGGAGCACAGCCACTTAGCGAGTTTTAGTGAGCTGTTGCAGGCCAAGGTGGGGAAGAGAAGGGGGCAGAGGTGCTGACCCAGCCTGTGACAGCTCTTCACAACTCCTTAAGTGGCCCTCTGGTCCAAATAATTGCTCACCCCTGCTCTAGAGCCACTAAATCATAAAATACACTTAGAGCCAAAGAAAAGAAATATCTTGGGTTACAAATTCCCACTGATACTCCAGTATTTAGCTCCTAACAAACGGAAAAAGCAGACAGGCTTTTGTCCACAATAAAAAAGGAGACTGGAGACTGTCTCACATTAGTACATGCCTCTGCCTAAACCAAACATTTCTGGCTGACTACCTGAGATCTGCCATAGCAAGCTGGGAGGAACAAGTCTTTCATACCTAGTATGGGCTTTTGCCTAAACCAAGGCCCCAGGGTTTTGAATCTCATTGTGGCACTTACCTCTCTTCATGCATAGTACAGGATACCTTGGAGGCTAACTCAGGGATGTTTAGACACTAAGCCACTCTGCAGTGCAATGTCCCCTCTAAGGTTCTAATCCATACCAATGAAGACATGAATGGATTAACATAAAAAACCAGGAGAGAAACACCAAGAAACAGCAGGTACCTGCTTATGTCTAATCAGCTTTGAATAGAAACATTATATTTAACCTATCAGAAATGCAGTATTACCAGTTTCAAATCCAAGATCTTTTTATAATAGGATATCCAAGAATTAATAGTAAAATAGTACCTTAACTATTTGAACAAACAGCTTAATATTTCCAAGTCATTCTGTTTATTCACCACAGACGCACGTAGTTTTTTCAAATTTTGAGAACAGAAATTCCAAAGTTGTGGGGAGTAGTTTTTTCTTTTTTTAAAAAACACAAAATTAAGAACTCACTTTTAGCTTTAATTTTTTATTATTATTGTTATTATTATGATAACGTTGAAATCCAGAGTTCTTCAGGGCATGCACAAATATCTATCAGTGATGATGTTTCTGTTTAAACTGAAGTCCGCAGTAGCCACATGTCCCAGTTTTCGTTTCTTTATCCTGTCAAAAAAAAAAAAAAAAAAAAAGATTTTTATAAATTTTCTATAAAATGAAGTGTGTAGCTAACAATTTCTTCTGAAATTAACTATATTTGCATGATATTGAAGTTATTTATTTCAAGTGCAAGGCTATTCTAAAAAGTAACAAAAATAGCAATATGAAGTTCATACGTGATCTGTAAAACATGCTCGGTTTCCAATGTTCTTACTGTTATTTCTGCTATCTTTTAATTGCTGAACTGGGATCAAAAGTCAAGTTAAAGGAATTTCTTTGTTTATATCGACCTTAAAAGATATCCCATTACAAACTGGACCTCTGTTCAAGCTCACAAAATTACTTCAAAGAGTAACTTTATTACATTTACACTGGTGCTGCTGACTGGAACTTAGTAAATAATTCTGACAATTCAAAAGAGAAATCAGCACATTCACACTGTGTCCACACTGGGATTTTAGCCAGTGTTGACATCTAATACAGCAGTGCTCAAATCCCGGCCTGTGGTGCCATGGCATCCAGCTCACAGGGCTTCCCACTAGTCAGAAAACTTGATGGTGGGGGAGCAGTGACCATTATTACTGACACCTCTTCCCTGCTGCTAAATTTCCAAGCTATGCATGGCCAGGCTGGGGCCAGACTGGCTCCTGCCCCACTCTGCGTGTCCAGGTCAAGCCCCGCTATGCTTGTCAGACTGCCAATATGCTAATAAAGCCCAGCTCATTATGGATTTGACCAGGCCACCAATAGCTATGACCTTCATACACTTAGTTGGAACTTGTTTCTCTAAAATGAGGTATGTCAGGGTTAGGCAACCCCCAGTATATGTGATAGTGTGGCACATGAAAGCATTTTGCTTGGCATGCCCACCTTGGGGTGAATTGCAGGGACATGGCTGGGGCTGCATTGCCACAACAAGGATCGGGCCCCTCAGCTCCCCCACAATCCACCCCGGCACGCCAACATCTTACAAGTTGCAGCTGTAGGCGTTTTTGACACTGACCCAAAACTCTGCCAGTCCCTTATATACATTATCATTAGTAATCATTTGTTAGTACATTAGTATTAACAAACTAGATAGTAAGAGGAGGGCTTTTACCATTCACTTACTACACAGAGAGCTTCTCTCCTCCAAAACCTATTAAAACTTTTTAAAAAAACCAAACCCCAAACCAAAAATAATAATAATTAAAAAAAATTACTCAAAAAAAAAATTTAGGAGGGTTGGTCAGAAATTAATACCTTCTAATTTTTATCTCCTAAGCAAGCCATGGACATAGAGGTTGTTCTTGATGACTCCTTGGATAAGAGACAGCCAACTCAGAGGTCTATCAAGACTCTGACAAAACTGAAACATTGCAAAGAGTCTGCCCCAATAGAGGCATGTCAAAGATGCTGCTTCTGCATGGCAACACTTGCTTGCACTCCAGCTTGTGCACCAGAGAGGCAAAGAATCTTTTTGTTTCAATGGACTTTTCTGCCCCAACTTCCACTCAACCCAAAGAAGGAAGAGGCAACATTTTCAGGAAGACAACAAAGTGATAAAGACTGTGCAACAGTGGTTCCACAACAAACAAGGGCTTTTAGGATGTTAGGATCTGTGCCCTTGTTTACTGGTAAAAAAAGACCACTAATGGAGAGGGAACAATGTAAAACCTTTTTGTGAAAGTTAAATGCTTTTTCAATAACAGGAAATGCAAGACGCTAGAACTCTTGGTTCACAGATAATAACTTATTAGACCAACTAAGAAATAACTTTTTGTGATCTTTTTCTGCAAGCTTTCACAAAGGCTCACATGCCCTTCCTCATGGACCCAGAGAAATAGACTTCCATCTTCAAGTTCCTCTGTGCAAAAATGATGTTTGTTTCCTACCTATGGGGATTTTTTACCATCTTTAATTTTCCCTGAGCCTGATGAAGGGCGAGAGAGCCCAAAAGCTTGCAGAAAAAAAAAAATTGCGATTTCTAAGTTGGTCTAATAAAAGGTATCATCTCTGAGCCAAGAGTTCTAGAGTTTTGCACTTCTTTTTTGTCTCAGACCAACACAGCTACCAAATACATCCCTTTTCAATAACATTTAACTTAAAAAACAAAACAAACAAACAAAAAAAAAACCAAAACAAGCATTGTTTTCTGACTAATACAGCAGTGCTCAAATCCCAGCCTGCTATGCTATGGCATCCAGCCCACAGGGCTTCTTACTGGTCAGAAAACTTGATGGTGGGGGAGCAGTGACCATTATTACTGACATTATTAAATATTTGTATTTAAGCCAACAGAAAAATTTCTAGCAACTTCAACAAACTTTGGGTCAGAATCATGTTGAGCCATTTAAGACTGTTGCTGAAACAGCTTAGACGTCTTCCATTTTAAGTGTGCAGGACACTGTGGCACTATAGAAATAAGTCTATTGTTTAAGAGAATCACTTCTTACCTCATTAAAACAGCACTCCAAAAAAAAAAAAAAAAAAAAAAAAGAGATGATCTTACAAAAAGTAAAATATGCTACAGAATAGCCAAAAGAGAGGTTCATTACCAAGTTTATATATACTTTAGGATGTCCCAAAGCTCCTCCACCACCATCGCATGATATCACTCTGCTTTCAACTTCATTCACAGGTTGCTCTGCTATCATATCGATGGCAAAGCTTGTATTCACCTGCAACAGAAAGAAGTTTCAAAAGTGCACTACAGTATAACACAAAGCAATAATCACCAATTTAACTCTCCTCAAAAACCAATTCTGCATCTTCTCTTTAAAGGTAGCATCAATAATTATTGCACAAATAGCTATAAGTGATGGTATATAGCTTGTGCTTTTAACTTTTTCTTCATTCTAATGTTCTCATTTGCACAAAACCAGTTAAGTTCCTTGGCTTTAGGAGGAGAGCATTTAAACTGCCTACTGAAATAGAACAGCTCAAAAAAAACAAACTTTAAAAGTATTCAAATGCATTGAAGTATGAGCTTGTCTCAACCGCATTCATTCAACCTCACCTACATCCACTGTACATATATTTCAAATGCTCTCTCTCTTTGAGGACATACACTTTTAATAAGATTCTTAATTGCATTTCTAAACAAAAAAAAAAAAGAAGCAATATCTACACTCAAACCAGAGTGCATCCACTAATTGTAAGAATTCAGATCAGCTAAAGGAAAATTTAGCAACAGATAACTTATATGCCTAGAGGTAATATGCGCCAGCTAGCAAACTACATTTAAGTTTGATTATGCAGGTCAAACCAGAGATATTTTTTTGGATATTATTTGGAGAATAGTGACAAGTGATTCTTACTAACTTTAGTATCTGACCATTGCATTTCATATATTAAAAAGCATGCAATAGGGAAGAACCCTTGAAGTTATAGCAGCAGCTTAAAATGAACTTTTTATCAATGAAGAACACACACTCACCCCTTTTCTTTATAAGTCTTTGAACTAATGGCCTTCACTAGAAAGGCCAGAATAGTCTTTTTATATAAAATTACACACACACACACACACAAGACAACAACCTACTGGGCAATTCATATTAAAAAAGCAGTACCTGCTGTGTGTGTATGTTTGCATATCGTAGCAAACATTATACAAAATATACTAATGAGTTTTCATCACTGTGAATCCTCAATGTAAAGCAGGTAAGCAGTGTTCATACAAACTATGAAGTGTAATAAGCAGTTCACAAAGCTCTGCTATACAAATCTTATAGAAAATGTACTAAAGAATTTAAATCTTGGAATTTTGTACAACCGTGGAAAATTCATTTTGCAAGTCATGCTCAAGAAGATTCAATTATCTAGGTCAGATTTGTTGATAGTTAAAAAAAAAAATCTCATGAAAAATAACTATGATTAATTTTCATTTTTAAACAAATTTTCCAGGGACCTCAATATGGCACTTTTAAACAATCAAATGATCATAAGATACAGACACTGCACAACACCAAACTGCATCTTGGACCTCCATTGGTTCTGGACATATATCCAGAAGTTGGGCAAAATTTCAGTTTGCATATGAGGTTTGGGAACTATTATAGAAGTGGGCAATGGAGAAACCCCTGATTCCTTTACTCCCCCCCCCCGCACCTTACAGTTATCACACAAACTGTACTGTCACCAGTTCAAGCAATTTATCACATGATAAAAATAGTGAATCAGCCATGCTATTCATTAAATGTAAAACACCTTTGTGTCTGGTTCCTACTGTGCTTTAATTGGAAAGTGAGCTGCTCCCCAGTGCTGGGATGCCCCTGCACCCTTTAAACTTGCCAGCACATGGGAAGCCCTGCATCGGGGACAGTCTCCATGCTGCCAGGCTACACCCAATCCATTTAAATTTCCCAGTACATAGGAAGCCTGGCACTGGGGAGTCAGTCTGATGCAGTCACGCAGGGCTCCCCAACTGTCAAGTTTAAAGGGCATGTAGGCAGCCACACACTGGAGACTGGCTCTTTTTGAAGATCTGGGCGCATGGAGAGCCTGAGTTTGAGAAGCAGCTGTCCAATCCCAGGTGCACTGGCAAATGTGGGATGGGACCCAAGGAATTTTATCCTGGATCCTAAAAATCATGCACCGTGACAACTCACACAAAGCACAGGATGACCATTTTTGAGATCCATGATAAAATTCCTCATGAACCCATCAATGTCTGGAGGGGGTCTGGCATACCACAGTTGACTGAGATAAGGGAAGTCTAAGTGCTGAAGGACACTGATTCAAAAGAGCAGAAACAGAATCCATCCTCCCCAACCCCCAGTTCACTGCCTTAGTTAAAATAACATCCTTTACCATACAAACATCTGCTTGATTCACAATTCAGTCTACACAATAACAAAGGCCTAAGGAAGGGAGGTCTAAGGAAAAATATGATCAAATCATTAAACATTAGACCACATTGAGCAAGGAAACAGATTTAAGACTACATGGTAGCTCAATCTTCGCACTTCCTACCAATGAAATTTCTCACGTCCAGTATTTATAATGAGTCCTACCAAATTTGCAATTGTGTGGTTTTCATTGAAATCACAAATTAAGAGCATGTTCCATGATAAACAACAGATTCACTGCAAAAAAAAAAAAAAAAAAAAAAAAAAAAAAAGCAACCCGGGGGGGGGAAGAAGGTGTCACAGGGCTGCTCACAGCAGGAGACTGCACAAGCAGCTGCAGCAAGGTCCTGGGCCAACTGTGGTAGGCAGCCAGGAGGCTGCACCAGGTCCTGTGGTGCCCGATCCG